TTTGAGAAGCATTTGTTAAACAAAATTAACAAGAGTCTAAGTTAGTTCATCAAAATGCCACCACTTAGACGTTCCAACCTAGGTCGTAGAACTCGCAATGCTGCAAGTCAAACATATACAGGGTGTTTCAGTTTATTATTGCATAACTTTAAGATTCGATAGAACTTTTAAAATTAATGCATAAATTCTATATAAATATGGGTCGAAAAATGTGTGGCTTCCGAAATACAGGGTGTTTAAATTTACTTTCTAAAATAGCTTTTTTAAATATTTCGAACAATATTTGATGTATAACAGTGAAAATTGGTATACAAGGGTTTTTTTGGTACGACAAAACGAACCATGGGCAGTTTTACTGTAGCCGCTAGAGGGCGCTCTCTACTGTACGTGTAGTGTATTAAAATTACCGAAAAATTTTTCTTAGTGCAATTTTTTGCTTTTTGCATAAAAAAACTGATCCTTCGCATTTTTCAACATAAAAAAGCTCTTTTGTGAGTTTTCGTTATAGTTAGCCGTTTTAAGATATTTCGATTTTTAAGGTTCGATGCATTTTTAACTATTTATGGGAAAATAATATTTTTTTTACATTTTCGATTTGGGCACTACAAGTAATTAAGATGATCGTTTAGATTGTGTTTTTAAACACAGCAATAATTCCTAACTCCAAATAAACACAAAAAACAGAATATTAATTTGTTTAATTTTCCAATATTATTTTTAACAAATTAAATTAATTATTTACAACTAAAATGCTATTGGATAGCATTATTCAAATAAGGCCTTATTTCATCACATGCACTCCTGATTCTGTCTATTAGCATATCTCTTGTGGTTACGGGAGTCTGGTACACTTTTTCTTTTAGAAATCCCCACACAAAGAAATCTAATGGATTTAGGTCGGGGGATCGTGGAGGCCAGGCGACTGGTCCTCCACGGCCGATTCACCTTTCTGGATAATTTTCGTTCAGCCAGTTTCTAACTATTCTCGAATAATGATCTGGACAACCATCAAGCTGGAACCAGGCCAATCTTCTTAAATCTAACATAACATCATCCCACATATTTGCATGTTCAGCCTTTAAAAATTCCAAGAAGGTCGCAGCATTTAACCTTGCAGGCAAAAGGTAGTCGATTATGGTAGATATCAATCCACACGTTCACACTAAATTCAAGCTGAAAATTTCTTTCCCGCACTGCATGCGGATTTTCATGCGACCAAATATGTTGATTATGAAAATTTACCACTCCACGTCTAGTGAAGCATGACTCATCGGTCCATAAAACGTTACTTAAAAACTCCCTATTATTATCAGTTCTATCAAGAATCCACTGACAAAATGTGATTCTTCGTTCTCCGTCCCCTGGCTGTAGTCCTTGCACAGGTTGCAAATGGGAAGGACGTCTATGGTCATTTCTAAGAACACGGTGAACATGGCTTGCTGAAATTCCCAAGGCACCAGAAACTCTCCTAACACTTGTGGTCGGATCTCTATCAAACTCACGCAGAATCATACGGGTAAATCTGCGCTGACGAACATTTATGTTTTGATCCCTTTGGAGATTTCCAAAACCATTTTCAATTATTTGGCGATGCACTCTTACAAATACTGAGCGAGTTGGATGTCGTCTGTTTGGAAATCTTCGTGCGTATTCTCTGGCTGCTTCTGCTGCGTTTCCAATTACAAAGCCATACACAAAATGAATATCCGCTCTTGATTGGAGAAAAAAAATGGCATTTTTATTAAACTTACAAAAAAAACAGGTAAAATAAACTAAATTTCGTGCATTCACAATGACAAAAAAACGTTTCAGGTTTCAACAGACAACAAAACTAACTGTCAACTAACTGACGTTTAACCTTATTCTGCTTTCAATTTCAAAAATATTTGCAGGCACAGCCTACTTCTAAAAATTATCGAGATACTGACTTTTTAACGTTATTTTATCATAAATAATTAAAAATGCCTCGAACCCTAAAAATCGAAATATCTCAAGAACGGCTAAGTATAACGAAAATCCACAAGAGAGCTTTTTTATGTTGAAATGTGGGAAAAATCAGTTTTTTTATTCAAAAAGCAAAAAATTGCACTAAGAAATTTTTTTCGGTAATCTTAATACACTACAGGTACAGTAGAGAGCACCCTCTAGCGGCTACAGTAAAACTATGCCCATGATTCGTTTTGTCGTACCAAAAAACCCTTGTATACCAATTTTCACTGTTATACATCAAATATTGTCCGAAATATTTAAAAAAAACTATTTTAGAAAGTAAATTTAAACACCCTGTATTTCGGAAGTCACGCATTTTTCGACCCATGTTTATATAGACTTTATGCATTAATTTTAAAAGTTCTATCGCATCTTAAAATTATGCAACAATAAACTGAAACACCCTGTATACGAAGAAGTCAAACTGTCGACTAACGAGAGGCGAGAAATGAAGTTGAACGGATTGAAGGGCTGTAATTCAACAACGTAGAAGTGTGAATTTAATCCCAATCGAGCTGCATTCAATTATGATGTGGCAATCGATTACAATTCATAACAATTGGTACCACCACCAGAGCCACTACACTCATTGGTTTAAAGAAATGGCCAGATTCTATACATTTTTTGACTCATATCCAGCAATACAATAATTGCTTTCCAATGACGTCATTTGGCGCAACAAAATTCATTCGACATAATTTTATGCCTACTTTCGAGGTAATTTGGTGAGGGAGTGACAGTGCTGCTAACGTATTCTGCTGGCCACATGGCAGTACAAACACTTCGCTAAATTCCTATATTTCATATATTTACCCTTTTATTACCCATTATTCATCCCAGTTCATAGCTAAGACGACAACGTCTGTCGGGTCGGATAGTAATATTAATAATAATAACGGTACATCATACATTATTAGAAAGCTCAATATTAATTATATTAATAGTGACCTTTTTATATCCATAATTTCACGTGCTCTCTTTCTGGGCATAGATATATATTATCCAGTCTTCCACTCACATTGAACTGCATACATTTCCTGGTGTCTGTGAATGCCAGTCGTATTCGGTGAAATGGGCAAGTGTCACCCACCACATGGGCGTCGCGTCACGAGGCCACCATACTATTAGCTTTGACATGATGTGCAAATGCTACATAAACTAAACACAGAATGATTAAAGTCTTATCTAAAGAGCTCGATCCAGTATTGTATACGACTTGTTATGGTCATAGACACAACAAGCAAGCAGATTATATGCAGTCAGGATCAAGAATGGCAGTGCCAATAATTTATTGTAGATCTACAAAGCTCAAATGGCGGCATCATGTAGTCGAGTCTAGAAAAACGTCCCTGTTGGCATATCGGTAACAACGTGAGATAGGTTTGGGATCATCTACCAGTCAGTTGAGTGGCCCTCCTGGGATACCATCCAAGCATAGACAGCTTGGTCAGAGCGGCAGTAGCCAAGACATGAAAAAGCTGGGTCTCGACTGAGCATTGATATAAGGAATGATGTGGGTCGACGTGAAAACTTCCTTGCTCTCAACACATTTCTCAACTCGTTCCAGCATCTGAACGAGGAGTTCTCTTCCAAATCATGTCCTTGTTGAACTAAATTTGAGCCCATCAAGGCACAGATTTACTAAATTTTCAGCACTTACTATATGTTATTTACTCTTAACTCAGATAAGTACGTTGAACATGAGCTTCTCCTTCATTGACACTAGTTTGAAATTTCAATAGTATTGCTAACTCTTAGGCCCGTATCGTCAGTCGTCCCTACAATTGTAGGGCGCCTTTATGGCCTCCTTGATTGTGATAGTTTTCTTCTGCTCCGCGTCAGCGCTCTATTTTGAGGTTATGTCACAAACATCTATTTGCATCAAATTGTACTTGCTTTTGAGTTATATCATGTTTTATCAGCCTGAAATTTCCTACAATTTAAAAAGAAAACATATCTTCACAATAAAAAAGCGCTGACGCTGACACGGGACAAGTGTAATCTAGAAATTTTTGAAGGAGAGGAAGGAGTATCACAATCAAGGAGGCCATAAACGCGCCCTACAATTGTAGGGACGACTGACGATACGGGCCTTAGTCGTCCAGCAATGGTACTACGTTCCTTGAAGGGTGACATTATGTCGGTTTTTTTGACGTTATATAGGTTTTTTGTGACATTATGTAGGTTTTTCTACAAGATGACAATTTTGCACCTAGTCGTTCCGTAGCCGTACATGCTGCCTAAACGTCATGATGCTTCAGGTATCAATGTGTAAGAAAAACAAGAGTATCGCGCTATTCGAATATATTCTCCATATACAACCGCTCGATACCACGTCTAGTTCTTAACTGACTTTGACATTCCACAACCGTTGTCAGGTATATACAATATGATACATTACTATGAAAACATCAGTACAGTAATAATAATAACACTCGGCTATCCTAACCATTAGGCTGTCCTCAGACTAATTAAACGTTAGAAAAGCTTCAATTCTCAAAGCTTCAAATCCTAGACTTATAATAACGTAGGAAATATAAAAAAAAAATTACTTCACAAGATCTTACATAATGCATATCTCAAAATAACAATAAAGAGAAAGGTAAAATAAAATTGCAGTCCAATCAAATGTAGTGCAGGTAAGGAAAGATTTGCGCAAATGTTTTCCACATGATGACGTTCATCTACAAGCAACGTTTGCCAGGCTGTTCGTAAGTAAGCGCTAATAGGCAACGTTTGCCGAAAATAACGTGGAAGCGACGTTCGCTTGAAGGCAACGTTTGCCGAAAATAACGTGGAAGCGACGTTCGCTTGAAGGCAACGTTTGCCAAAAATAACGTGGAAGCGACGTTCGCTTAAAGGCAACGTTTGCCAAAAATAACGTGGTAGCGACGTTCGCTTGAAGGCAACGTTTGCCAAAAATAACGTGGAAGCGACGTTCGCTTAAAGGCAACGTTTGCCAAAAATAACTTCTTGAAAATACGATGTTCGCATGTGGGCAACTTTTGCCTCTAATTATCGTTTATTAGGGTCACCCATGCCTTGACCTGGTCTGCAGCTACAACAGTTCGCTTCCGTTTGAAGCCTTCTCGTAAGTCTTCAACTTCGTATCGATCGTTGAATAATTTTTTCGTAACTCGAAAAGGTCCCTTATATTTTGCATGTAGCTTATGGCTAGTTCCCGTAGATGGTATACTCGTTATCAATACGCTGACCAAGTCACCCTCGTTATACTGGGTGGCATTGCGTCGACTTTTATCGTAACGTTCTTTTTGTTTTTTTTGATCATCCTCAATATGTCCTGAAATCTTATGCCTAACCTCCTCTAGGTCAAGTCTATCTATCTCATTTTGAATTGCACTCAAAACTGTCGCCTCAGCTGCATGTTTAGAATTGTAACCAATCAGGGCCACCATAGGAGTCGAATTGATGCCTTTGTTAAAACTCGTATTCAATGCACTTTGTATTTGTTTTACGTATCTATCCCAATCTCGCTCATCTTTTCCTGCAGCAGTTGTTGATAGAGCACTTACGATTGTTTTGTTGTAACGTTCACATTGACCGTTAGCCCTTGGCGTGGCGACTGCATTTAGGACATGCCTTATTCCATATGTGTCACAAAACATTTTAAAGGTTCGAGATGTGAAGGCCGTACCTCTATCACTTATAATTCTTGAAGGTACCCCAAATAAATGGATTACGTCAGTTAAAGCCTTGATCACGTGCTTACTTTTCTGATCATGTACCGGCTCTATTATTGTGAATTTGGTAAATGCGTCAACAATTACAAAAATATACTTATTTTTTCTTTTGCTTGTCACAAATGGTCCAACATGATCTACGTGTATCGTATGAAAGGGGATTGGATGTTTTTCTATAGGATTTAATTTGCACTGCCGTTTTGAGGAGCACTTTTTATAGTACATACAGTTTAGGCAAGCGTTAACATATTTTGTTACGAATTTTCTCATTTTCGCGAACCAGTAGTTTCTTCTTATTCGCTGTAAAACCTTTTCTACTCCAAGGTGTCCAGAATCGTCGTGACATAAACGACAAATTTGCATACGTGCTGCTAATGGAACAACCCATGCTTTAGTTCCATCGTCTAATTTCCTGTACAATTTGTCGTTTTTCAATTCGTATTTATCGAAATATAACTTCGTCTCATTATTCCTTACTTTACTCGATAGTATGTTCCGAATTCTACAAATCTGTTCATCCTGCAATTGTGCTGCAGTAATCCAATCCGCTTCCGTCAAATCTATTTGGAACACTTCTAACTCAAGGTTGGTGATTGCTATAGGGTTTCTACTGAGGGCGTCTACATGAGTCATTTTTTTACCAGCTCTATACTCAATTTCGAAAGAGTATTCCTGAATCTCCAACCACCATCTTCCAATACGAGGAATTAAATCTTTTTTTGACAGGGTCGTCCGTAAAGCATTACAATCGGTGACTATCTTGAAATTTATCCCCAGCAAATACACTCGAAAATATTTTAGAGCGTAAACTACAGCCATAGTCTCGAGTTCGTATGAGTGATATTGTCGTTGATCACATGTTGTTTGTTTGCTAAAATAGGAAACGACACGTGATTTACCTTCAGAGTCAAATTGAAGTAACATTGCTCCTAAACCAATAGAGCTCGCATCTGTATGAAGTTCTATCCTCAATTTGGGGTTATATATTGCAAGAATTGGACGTGATGTTAATGCCTCTTGAATTTGATGGAATGCCTGCCTTTGTGGTGCGTTCCAGGTCCAAATTTCATTTTTACGGGTTAATCTTGTTAAAGGCTCGACAATCATGGAGAAATGTTTAATAAATTTCCGGAAATAACTGGCTAATCCGAGGAATTGACGTACTTGCTTAACGTTGCGAGGAAATGGCATATCTAAAATTGCCCGGATCTTCCTTTTTCCAGGTTTCACCCCTTCTGCGCTAATTTCTCTTCCAAGGTATTCAATTGTCGTTTCCAGAAATACACATTTACTGATTTTCAAAGTGAGGTTATGTGCACGAAGTTGAATTAATACTTTTGCCAACCGTTCTAGTCCCTCTGCGATCGTAGACGAGGCAATTATGATATCATCGATATATGGAAAGGCGTATTCATTTTTTAATGGTCCTAGTACTTTGTCGATTAATGATTGGAAAACAGAAGGAGCATTGGTAAGTCCGAAAGGCATCCGTAGAAACTCGTAGTGGCCGTCAGGGGTTACGAATGCCGTTTTTTCAATAGAGTTGGCAGCCATACGGACTTGATAAAACCCGGACGCCAAATCTAAGCTTGTGAAATATTTAAATCCTCCTAATTTATCTATTTGATCCTCAATATGCGGTAATACACTATGATTTCTTATGGTGACCGCGTTGAGCTGCCTGTAGTCGACGCACATTCTATAGTCCCCATCCTTTTTCTTCACTAGTGTAATTGGGCTGGCATACGGGGAGCTAGATTCACGAATTATTCCGTTATCTAATAGTTCCTGAATCATATTTCGAAGAATTTGCTTTTCTATGTCGGGCATTCGATAGGGATGACGCGCAACTGGCGTGTCGACCAAACATTTTATTTCCATTTCTACTGTATCCGTGTTTCCTAAATGTTTCATAGAAGATGAGATGCAGTCCGAAAAATGATGCAACAAAGAAATGCAGGCCTTCTTATCGGCTTCCGAAATAGCACCTATCTGTATATTATTGAGATCCAAGCCATTGTCGAAAACTTCTATCAAGTTCACAAAAAGGTTTTCGGTGGGAGGCAACGAAAGTGCTGGCTCATTGATCTTTTAATTTCATCCCAACTGGAGTCGTAGTCCACATTTTCTTCGTACCACTGACGGGCATTGCCTCGCAGTCTTCCAGAAATCAGTCGTAGAATGGCATCGTCATCCCAGTGATAGCGCTCTGCCAAACGGTCAACTTTATCCAGCCACTTATCCACCATCACGTCGTCCCGATTAGGATCAAACGTCGGCACTAAGAGTTCATCTCCCGTACGAATGATTGCCGGGTACCGTCTCAATTCGTTTAATTCTTTTCTCAATCTCTTTATAGTTTTTCTTGAAGACGATCTATGGGAAGAGGCCGAACTCGAACTGTCACTTTCACTCGAGGATTCCTTTCGGCTCCGCTTCCCACTTCTATTCCGCGATTTGAATTTAGTTTTCCCCAGGATGTAGGAAAATTCAACTGATTTTAAGGTATCCCACCGCTGCTTTGTAAGAAAAACAAGAGTATCGCGCTATTCGAATATATTCTCCATATACAACCGCTCGATACCACGTCTAGTTCTTAACTGACTTTGACATTCCACAACCGTTGTCAGGTATATACAATATGATACATTACTATGAAAACATCAGTACAGTAATAATAATAACAAATGTTTGGCTCTGAAGTGATGTAACGACTGCTTCAGATGTGGCATTATTGGTTGTTTAAGCTGTGAGTTGTACACTGCAGGTGCAAGGAAATGGCGGTGCATAGCAGCTGCATAGTGAGGATTTGTGTCCTAATAATATGTGTTGTTGATAAATCCCTGGTTGGTGAAATATATGAAAACTAACAGGTGAGGAAATATGGTCATACGGCAATATTTAAGAAACGTGAAAAGGGTATTTATTATTTCATATTAATTTTTATATCCAGTCATTCAAATATTATAGAAATTTATTTTACGATGTCAAGTAGAGAACAAAAATCAACGCCTCGATGTGAGGCAGTGCGAAAATGTTTTGTGTGTGATCCGTCATTACTAATTTTTCTGTGATGTGGCTTAATCATACAAAACGCGGGCGCGGTACTGATTTCCCATAATGCTTATCAAAGTTTTTGAAAATGCAAAAAACTGCGAGAATCGTAGTGATAACTTTGAACATAACGTCTCTTCAGAAAAGACAGAACACGAATAACCCGTCTGGCATAGCTGGTGTATTTCATGGACAGCATATTTCGTAATAATTTTCTCATATAGCAAATATCACTAATTTTACACACGTCCAGACCAATACATACAATCATCAGACTATCTCCACATCCTGCAACCAACAAAGCATGACTGACTTGCGGGCTGCAGCATGGTCATTGAGAGTGCCGTGTCGTTGAATCATCCTTCCATAGATGGACGCTTTTGATGACGCTCACAGTGCTCATAGCGAGAAAACGCGGAATGCACTATTTGCACCCTACGAACTATCTAGGTGGCAAGTTGACATCTGGTCGGTTTTTTTACGTTTTATGGTTTTTTCACGTAATAGCCTTGCCGAAGTACGGAGATATATGTTTATGAGGTCGATGCAATTTCGAAGTATTTTAATTTTCGAAATTATTTAATTGCCGTGGATTTGATTTCAATGTTCAATCGAAATAACCATTTCTGCGAAAATGCCGTTTCGTAGGAAATACAAGTTCATTAAAAAAAGACCATGAAGATGATTTACTAAGCTGTGAAGGAGTCTAGATTGCGATATGGTTTGTTAGTTTGGGGTGGAGCTCTAACCGTTCACTTAGCAAAACTTGAGGTTTTACAAAAATAATCTTTCAAAATAATTTATAATAAAAACAGACTTTATCCCTCAGAACATATTGGTATATAAATTGAAAAACAAACGTACGTTAGTACCGATGCAATATACTGAAAGACTAGGAACAAAATTAATAAAAAGCAGGACGTCAAAAAAATAGGACAAAGACGCTCTACTTATCTCGTCAGTCGGTTATATAGCTTCCTGTCTGGTTGAAAAGAAAAAAGAAATAAAAGATGCCTCATTCCAAAATTCAAATGTCTTAGAAACATCCTTAATACAGATTGCATGAGAATCTTATACTTCGCACTTGTGCAGTCACATCTTTGCTATGGAATACTTGGCTGGAGAGGAGCTGGCTTCACTTACATAAAGAACTTGGAGATTGCCCAAAAATATTTATTAAAAATTCTTTATAGCAAGAGCAAAACTCATCCATCTGATGAGCTATACCATGAGTCTGGAATTATGGACATTAGGCAAACCTTTATTTATAATTGCATGGTATACTACTTTAAAAATAAATCATTTCATGAGGAAACGCTCACAAATATGACACTCGCCAGAAAGTTGCTAGGCACATAATGGTACCTAGGCCGGAAAAGTCATTATTGCAACGCTCCTGGATTTATCTCTGCCCCAAATTGTACAACGAAATGCCTGCTGATTATAAGTTAATACGAAACATTGCTTTATTCAAGAAAAAAATCTCAGTCTGGTATATCCAGGAGCATAATACATGATTATATAGAAGGCAAAACACTATATATGTCACTCTCACAACCCAAATGAAGTCACCGTTTTTAGAATAATTGCTCCATTCTATTAATTTATTATTTTATCATATTTTATTGTACGTTATTATATTTTATTAGATTTCATTATGTTTTATTGTAGTCACTTATATGCTTATACCGTATCTCATGTATGATGGGCATTTAATTTTATTCTATTCTATGCTTGATATATCCTTGTCTTTATTGCTCACAACACAAATGCAACTACCAGTTTTGTAATGTCATTTTAGTTTTTATTGTCCTTTATCTTAGATGTACTCTTTTTTAGTTTAGCCTTTTGATTTATGTTATTTATTATTGAATTTAGTTAAAGTGCCACAATGTCAGTTCAAGGTTTTCGCATTTCTACCAGTGATCGTGTAACACCAAATTATGTGCGTGCGTGCGTAAAAAGTGCATAGTGCATTAGCAAGTACTTGATAGACTTTATTTATATCTGCGGATAGACAACTGACAATAATGGGATGGCCACACACAAGATTTTTCTTTCGTGGCATTACTTTTATTTGTCATTGATACTCCTTTGTGGCAACAGTCTTTGAAAATTTATATTTGCATAATTGAATTTGACAAATAAATTATTATTATTATTATTATGTTTACTGCGCGGTATGCTTTTTTTATTTTGCTCCTAAATTGTATTTTTCCTCAATAAATATTATTATTATTAATCTGGTAGATATCACTGTCGAATCTGGACGTATGGAAAATAAAGGTGTACTACATAATGAAATTATTTATTATTGATTATTATTAATAAATTGGTTTCTCTCTCGTAAACCTGTAAATCAAATCTGCAGCCCACTTGGGTTGATCAACTGGGACCATGTGGCCAGCACCTCTCACTAAGACTTCAGTGAAGTTCCCACCACTCTTGCTGTATCCAGCTAACTCCTCTCCAACATACCAGATTTTCCTTTGAGCCTTGCGATATTCCTCGATGCCTCTAAACTCCACATGTTTCAAAAAGTTCAAAGTCAGCGGATATGCGACCTGGATGTCTACCTGACCAGAATACAATAGTACTCTATAATGATTGGCTACTTCAACAAACCAGGGTGCAACAGTCTTCGGTATATCTTCTTCCAAGTAATTCTTAGCCTTTTGTGATCCAAACGTGGTGTTACCAGCATGTATTCTACGTCTAGTATCAGGCTTGTTGAGGAATATGTTCATCAGACTCTCGTCAATGCCAACTCCTTCCTTAAGGTAGTTGAACAGGTTCACTCCACTTTCTCGGATAACGTTTAGAGCAGCTGCCCACATTTTTACTGATTGGTTAAAGTCTTTGTTGTGGATGAACTCATTTGCTGAAAAACAGTAATTACTTAATTCTACTAAACTGGTACTAGAGTGGCCAGTACATGTGTAACTGACTGATTTGTTTATTCAATATATTTTCTTTGTACTGAAACTGCCGCGTAGGCAGAAGCCCAAGTACTGGGGTACCGCGGCTGCTATGTTAAGATTAAGACTCTTTTAATAATCCGGCTTTATTTAAACTTATTATTATTATTTTCAACTTAACCCAACAAATATTTATGTATATTTTCTAATCCCAATGAAAACAAAAGAGTTAAAAGAAACCTGTAACGACTCCTCATTCATGGCCATGGTCTACTTACTGAGCAATGAAATCAGAGATAAAATTCTTCAATCATTTTTTGAAATCCTTTATAGAGTAGTGAGTGAACTCGGTAGGCAACGCGTTGTATAGCTTGATAGCAGTATATACGTACGACCTTTTAAATAGAGATGTTGAATGTCTCGGGATAACCAAGGTATGCTTATTCTTTGTGTTCAGTTCATTAACATCTGATTATCTGATAAATTTGGTTGATAGATATGGAGGGGCTTGTGTTGTGATTACCTTATGGGTCAAGGTCAATACGTGCATTTTTTGTGGCTCTTCTTCTTGTTGAACACCCAGCTTTTCAATCTAATTTTTAAGCGGCCTAAGGATAGTAGAACTGAGAACTACCAAATTGTACCACAATCTCGAAGCCCTAGAGACAACGGAGCGGATATATGAGTCAGTTCGACACGGTTAGGATGAGAGGCTGAAGTCAAGCCGGTCGGTCTGGTAAGCTCATCGCGCGACCGCATCATGGACGAGCTCTGAGTAGCAAAGGTGGTTGATATAGAGATAGTGGAAGGGAGCCAGATCGACGATGGCCCTACGCGACGGTGCGAAAAGGTCTCCAGACTTTCCGTTAGTTAGGTCATCGGACACCCATTCTCTAATCATCATCAAGCACGGATAATGAAATCCACAATTTCACAGAGAGCGTCACGTCCATTACACCGTAGGAGTTACGGTATGGGATGCTTTTGCTTATGCTTATGCAGGAAGTAGTGGAGCCTTATTTTATTCTATACCTAAACACAATCCAAAACCCGTTTTTTCAGCAAGACAATGTCAGACCGCATGTTGCCAGAGCATTGTTAGCCTTCATAGATCAACATCGCATCAACCACCCTCCACAGACTTCGGCAGCTGTGACTCACAAAGTTGCAGTAGCCTGGAATGAAATACCCCCACAGGATATCGAGCACGTTGTCAGCACGATGCCCAGGCGTGTCAATGATTGTATAAGAAATCGTGGATTCTCAACACATTGTTGAACCAGCTTCTGCAGTCAGTTGACGAATCAAGCTCAAAATTTAATAATTTTACTAGTAAGGGACATTGAACATGTATGCCAAAAATTATTAAAATCGGATGAACATACGTAGGTGGTTACCTTTTTTGTCACTCAGTATATATTATCTTCAAAACCAACAAGTGGTGGGAAAAGTGATCAAGGGAGCTCAGGACTATTTATATTTTCCAGACAAACTTTTCATAAAGCTTTAAGATCAACATGGTTTTGCTACATTTTAAAAATATTTGAGAAACAAATCAGTCAGTAGTATATTGGTATACGGGGGTGGTTTCAGAGTTGAGTCAATTACTATAACTGCTTGTAAGACTCGTCAAAAGGAGTTGATATACCAAAAATCACCTATGTAAAGGTTGCATGATTAAAGGAATAGTAAAAGGCTAACAATTTTAAAAAGATAAGAATGTTATTACACAGATATTTTGATATTCTCGATCACTGCCGTGTAAAACCTTATCGTTTTCTGTTTGCTAATAATAATAATAATAATAATAATAATAATAATATTTATTCACTCAATGTACAAAGATAACAAACAATATGAGTAAATAAATATAAAATCAAAACAGGCCCAATAGAAGGCATCGCCTGTACATGGACCAATAATTTAAGTTGAAACTGTAGAATGCAAATGACAAAAAATGACAAAAATTAGCTACAGTAGATTATGTATTTAGTTGATGTTCGTATTTATGAGTTTATGAATTTTAGTCCTAGATATAGAATGTAGCCATTTTATTAGATTTCTTTTGAAACAATTTCCGAAACGTAAACCTTTTAAGTCTTTAGGTAAAATTTCATAAAATTTAGGCGCTAAATAGAGATATGATCGCTGCATTATAGATTTATGCGGTTGAGGAATTACTGTGCCACGAATTTTGTACCTTGTATAATGATTATGTTTAATTTTTTGGTCGGTGTTTACAAATTTATGGTAGTGAGTGATACTGTGTAGGAAATAAAGCTGTCTTATATCATACATTCGAACATCTGCGTATAATTTTTCAGTGGGATGAAGTTTCGGTTTTTTAAATATCATTTTTAGAATACTTTTTTGAAAAACATCTAAATTATAGATATGTGAGGAACATGCAGCTCCCCATGCTAATACACCATATGTGAGATGAGGCTCAATCAGTGCATGGTATAATGTTCGAAGATATTTTTCTGTCAATATATTCCCAACGTATTGTGAGGATCCAAGACCACGCCAAGGCATTTTATGTTGGGCACTCTATTAATTTGCATTTTTTGATCAATAATGTTGAAGGAGAAATTTGTGTAATTTGGCAGATGTTTAGCATAAGATCCAAATGGTAAAAAAATGTGTTTTAGAATGGTTAATGATTAATTTTCTACTGTTAAACCACCGAATAATTTTGACAAAATCATTTTCAATTACATTTTTCAGATCAGACCAGTCAGTGCCTTCATATAATATTGCAGTATCATCTGCAAAACTAGTTATTTTGCCAACACAATTAATTTGGAAAATATCATTTAAATATATATTGAATAACAGCGGACCTTGTGGGACACCACACTTAATATACATTTCTTTACTAAATGATCCTGATATCTGCACAGATTGTGGGCGATTTGACAAATAATTTTCGATCAGTGAGTACGCGTTTCCTCTGAAACCAATTCTCTCCAATGCTTCTAATAATAATTTGTGATTAACTGTGTCGAAAGCTTTCTTTAAATCAACAAAAATGCAGATTGAAGGGATTCTGTTATCAATATTTTGATGTACTTGATTTACAATTTTAGTTATTGCGTCCGATGTAGCCTTCCCTTCTGTAAATCCATATTGATTTTCACTTAAAATTTTGAATTCTGTGAGGTATCGAATCATTCTAGTAGATAAAACTTTTCCAAAAACCTTTGCTACACTGGATATTATTGATATTGGTCTATAGTTGTTAACATCTGTTTTTGTTCCTGATTTATGTATCGGTATTATATTACCTTTTTTTAAAATTGAGGGATATATGCCAGATTCAAAGCATTTGTTGATTAGGTAAGTGAGTGGTTCTGTTATGTCCTCGGCTATAATTTTTTAATGCTCGCTTTTAATACCATCGAAGCCAGGACTTTTTCGATTTTTTAAGGACATAACAGTGGTGTATACTTCACATTGCTCGACTTTATCCAAAATAAATGAGTTCAAAGTTCTTTTTGGAGGCTGAATATTTTGTACATTTGCTTGTATATTACTTGCTAAATTTTCGCCTATGTCACTAAAGAATTGTACAAATTCATCGCATATCTGTTGAGTATTTTTTAATGCTGTTCCCGATGTTGTATTTAACTCAGTGACACACTCTTTTATTTTGTTTTCCCAGTAATCTCATCAATAGTTGTCCAAAGCCGCTTAGGGTCATTTAAGTTATTATTCAATTTATTTAGGTAATGTTTTCGTTTGGTTTGCCTTGCAAGCTCTATAAATTTATTTTTATATTGGTTGTAGCAGTCGGTATTCTCTGTAGTTGGCGTTAGTGTCATTACATTATATAGTCTTTCTTTTTCTATTGCAGATGTTATTAATCCTTTGGTAATCCAGGCATTTCTGCTTTTCTCTTTGTGACTAATAATTATTACTTTATTGGTACTAATATCTATTAGTTTTTTTATTTTCTCTATGAACAGTCCCGTTGCTTTGTGTATATTATTTATAGAGTATAATTGTTCCCAGGATTCTTGTTTGACATTTGATATTAGTTTTGAATTGTCGACAAAAAATTTGTAATTTTCCTGGTTGTTATTAACGGTAGGGATGTTAGAATGTTTTTCATTTGAAGATATCAGTAAAATAGTGGAGAAGTGGTCAGTAATATCGCTATCTAGGATTATTGGTATACAAGTAATTTTGTTGGATAGGTTTTTCACAAAGTAGTGATCTATACATGTGCCACTGATGGACCTTGTAGGTAGGTTTATATAGGACAGAAATCCGTTACTTGATAGGATATTCAAGTATTCATTTGTGATGGGATCATCGTTCAAAATATTTATATTGATATCTCCCAAGAAAATATGTTGCTTTAAATGAACTTTATTTTGATTTTGAAAAAAAATGCTTTCTTCAGGGATCGATTCTCTTCTAATATCTTTTTTACAGTAGTCGAATCAGGTCGATTTTCTTCATCTGTGATGCAGTTCTTTTCATTCTCGCGCTTTTCTTGTTGTTCTTCTTCTTCTTTCTTCTTTTTGCCGGTCATGACACTCTGTATAGTAATTTCTTATGTAGTATGAATCAGGAAGAACAAACTGTCAACTTGTCAATTTTACGTCACTACTCTAATCGTTTATCTAAATGTGGCAAACTTTTTATGTTATGGCTTCTAGTACGAGTCTTTGATTCGTGCAGTTGTATCAGTCGTTTAATGGTGCGTATACTTTAATTTGTCAGATTAGTTTGTGCGAAAAGAGGCCCATTTTTATGAAAAGGATGAACTAGTGGACATAATACTAACATACGGAGAGTGCCAACAAACGCATCTGCAGCATGCAGGTTGTATGCGGAAAGGTTTACTGTAAGATATCACACGGCCCCACGGATGTTTGTAAATTTAGTTATTAGACTTCGTGACACAGGTTTTTTAAAAGAACAACGAGGAGGTCACGCTGGAGGACCTGCTCACCTTGAAATGTTACAAATGGAGGAAGACATTCTAGAAATGGTCGACGATGACCCAACAATGAGTACCAGAGCCATAGGAGCTCAAGTTGAAGCTTCTCATAGTAGAGTGTGTAAGAAATTACGACAGGAACAGTATTATCCTTATCATTATCAACGGGCACAAGCGTTACAACCTGAAGGTCATCCTAGAATAGTTGTATTTTGCCAGTGCCTTTTAAAACAGTTCGACAGAAGTGAAGATTTTACGAAATTAATTTGGGTACAGACGAGGCCACATTCATACGAAATGGAGTGCACAATTTCGACAACAATCATGTTTGGGCAGTAGAAAATCCGCATGCTATAGAAAGAACTCATTGTGAACCTAGATTTTCATTAAATGTTTGGGCTGGCGTGGTAAATGGCATGCTTATTGGACACTACTTTTTGCCCCTCGACTGAAATTTGTTTAGACTTTCTTTGACGAAATCTGCCACAATTATTAGAAGATGTTCGCCTAAATGTGAGACAGAATATGTGGTTCTAACATGATGAGGCTCCACCACATTTTAGATGAGAAGTTCATGAACATCTAAATAATGAGTTTCCGAATTGATGGATAGGGCGCAATGGACCCATCCCTTGGCCTACTCGATCCCCGGATTTAATGCCTTGTGATTTTTTTTGTGGGGCTATCTGAAAGAGTTGGTGTATCAGGAGCAGCAAAAACTTCAACAGCGCACTGAAAATGCTTGTGATTGAATTCGCGGACACCAGTATTTAAAGAGCCGTGGATTCGCCGAGCAAGGTTTTGCGTTAATCGAACAAATGGGGACAATTTTAAAAAGTTTTTGTGAACGGCGATTTTTGGTATATCAACTTCTTTTGACAACTACGAGTATATGCTGTTAAAATAAATGAGTCAACGTTGAAAACACCCTGTACATTTGATTGTGCCTATTTTTTCCAAAATGATGTATTTCTTTCCATCAAGTAAAGAACCGTATTCTTACTATAAAAAATAACTTCTTCCAATATATAGTATGATAAAATTAAACAGAGATATTCGCGTATTTTGGAAATTACTCAGGCAACTCTTCTTCAGGCTGTCGTCAATATGAAAGTTTGCTTCCAGATAACCCTTACCTTTCATTTCGTATTGTTTTATAATATCGGCGGTACTCTGATCAACCAATCCGAGCTGATATACGTACTCGGCATAACCGCTTTGAAGTTCTGGATCTATATACCCATTTCCAAGAGCAATTCCTTTCAAATTGATTTTTTCTTCCGCATCGGGGTTGTTTTTGTGAATTGCGTAAGCCAATGCGGGACCGAACTTGCCACCATAGGATTCTCCAATGACATAAAAATCATTCTTCCTCAGTTCTGGGAAAAGCTGGAAGAACTGCTGGAGTGCCTTGTACAGCTCCCGCCCCACCTGTGTTTGCTCTCTGGCGTAGCCGTTTTCGTTTTCTGTGAAACTGAATCCAGCGCCTACGGGGCTGTCTATGTAGATGACTGAATGGTTTTTAGTCCAGCAGCGTTCTCTCATTTCCAGTAGTGTATTTTCGTTGACTGCAAATGGCCCATGTTCCAGCAGCAGACCTTGCATTGATGAGGCAGCCGGACCTCCTTGTAGCCAGACCAACACTGGGTCGTTTTCGTAGTCACCAGTTGATGGGAAAAACCAAAAGAATAGATTGGAGTTGTAATGTTTGTTTACCGTGAAGTAACCAGCGTAACTAGTTACGTCCTGAAACATGATGAAGTAATGTTAGTGTCATTGAGGGATCTTACTAAACCCGGCAAAAAAGATACCATGGGATACAAACCAGTTCTATGATTATAAAAATCGTGAATGTGCTATTCTTATAAAGGGCTACTATCCATTTGAATGGTTTTTCCAGGAACTTAAAATCCATTCTATATGCACATTCACCAATTTTGCAAATAGGCAAACTGTCCGCCCACTTCTCAGAAAATAATTATAGGATTGCTTCACACCCATGAGTTTGCTTCAGAAAGATGAGACATTATTTCACAATCAGATACCTTCATACACTTATTATCTACCTTTTCCACAGTTCCATCACCATATTGCCGAAACTACGAATATTACTATTTTTAATGTGCTAAAACCGGAATGAACCTTATTTTTTCAATATTAGTTCAAGTTTTAGAGATACGGTAATTATATGTGTTCCTGCTGTGACAGTGTTAATATACTGTAATTCACAAGAATGCACGTGCTACATTTTTATATTCGGCAAGGAAAGATGATGTAATCGGCATGATTGTGTTACGTTATATACTAAGTAACATATAAATCCGAACACCCAGTTTAAATGGTTTTATTTTAATAAAATTTTGTATAAGTACTTAATGAAGCATAATAAGTAAATAATAATAATAATAATAATAGACGTCTTTATTTATGCACAATTACATGTAGTATAGCCAAATGTCAGACTTATATGGCGAAGTTTAGCATGCTGCTACTCTTACACTTAACCATATAGTCTCTAGCAGATGTTCAAAAGAATACACTATCCACAAACAAATTTGGTTCATTACATCGAAAGTAAAATTTAAAAAAAAAGAGAAAAAGGCATACTTTCCAAACCCAAATGCACCAAAAAATTATTAATCTGAATTAAAGATGGAATAAAAAAGAAATGAATAATTACGTAAATTATATGTTTGGAGGGTTGAGTAATAATGTTTTAACTTTTTGTCGAAAGACAGGTAATGAAAATTCTTTATATACTTTAGGAAGGTCATTATAAATAATAGCAACATTGTAAGAAAAACTGCGTTTAAAAAGTGTAGACGTATGCAGGGGTATTCTAATATTATTTTCTCTGAGAGTTCTACAGTGAACATCATTATTAAATGAAATTTTTTCCTTCAAGTAATAAGGTTTAGACGTGAGCAGCAATTTGTGAACAAAAACTGAATAGTGATACTTGACCATGCCATTAATTTTTAACCAGTTTAGAACGGGATATTTCGCCGATACATGATCAAATTTACGTAAGCCAAAAATGAATCGTATACAATTGTTTTGAATAACTTGAATAAGGTTTTTAGTGAAATTGTCTAAACAAGTATAGTATACGATATTACAATAATTTAGTATAGATATAACCAATGCTTCACATAGTTTTTTACGCATCTTAAAATTTAGTAAATACCTGTTTGCTATAAGAGTGCGCAGCCGTAGGTAGGTTTTCTGAGGTAGACTTTTAACATGTTCAGTAAACCTTAATTTTGTATCAAAAACAACACCAAGAATTTTTGCAGAATCAGAAAATTGCAAGATTTGGTTATTTATCTGAATGTTCAAGAGCTGTGTTAAATTGTATGTTTTTCTTTGTGCGCAAAATAATAACATTTTAGATTTTTGTGGATTAATAAGTAGATTGTGATCTAAAGAGTATTTAATTAATTTATTAACATCGTTTTGTAAAATTTGAGTAGTATTATAAACATTATCTGGGTTAAAATAATGAAGCAATTGCGTATCGTCTGCAAATGACTGGACATGAGAATTATCAATACTTTTGCTTAAGTCGAACGTATATATGAGGAACAGAAGCGGCCCCAATACAGAGCCCTGAGGTACGCCTGAGGGAATTATTGTCACTTGAGACATTTCTTGATTGAGAAAAACACACTGAGTTCTTTGATGAAGGTAACTGTCGAAAAATGAAAGGGATACACTGTCAAGACCTATGTAATTTAATTTAGCAAGTAATAATTTATGATTGATGCTGTCAAAGGCTTTCGAATAGTCTATAGAAATTAAGGCTAGTGCCATTTTCTTATCTAAGGCATTTAAAATATTGTCTTGCAGATTAAGTAGGGCAGATGTTGTACTATGATAAATGATAAAAATTTCAAAATGATTGCACTGCTTTAAAGCCCTTTGACCTTTAATAATGTGTGGATGCACCCTGACGTGCTACGCATTCTCCAACGCGCCTAGGCATGCTTCTGATCAGGTGGTCAATGTCCTCCTGTGGTATCTCATTCCAGGCCACCACCAACTCCTCTCGAAGTGCTTCTAGAGTCTAAGGAGGACGTTGCAAATTGAGCAATCTCCTACCCATCATATCCCACACGTGCTCAATTTGGGATAAGTCGGGAGATCTTGGTGGCCATGGTAACAATGTGACATCATTATGTTAAAAGAAGTCTATTGTGACTCTTGCAACATGTGGTCGGGCGTTATCTTATTGGAAAGTTGGATCTGCTAGGGTGTCAAGATAGGGTAAAAGATGGGGTTCTAGAACTTCGTGGATATAACGCTGCGCGTTCATGTTACCTCTGATGAAGATTAAAGGTGACCTGGAACCATAAGCTATAGCACCCCAAACCATAACTCCAACAGTGTGATGAACATGTCTTTCAACAAAAAACTGTGGATTCCTCCTTTCACCACGTCGCCTTCTAACCCTGGCACGACCATCATGCATGCCTAAACAAAATCGAGACTCGTCACTAAAGACAATACTGTTCCATTCCAGAGTGACCGTTGTCTGCACCACTCAAGGCGATTACGTCGGTGTTCTCGAGTTAACGGGAGGACCCAGTGTGGCCGGTATGAAAACAAGCCAAAACTTCTCATTCGTCGGTAAACACTTCGCATGCCAATGGGTCTCCCGTGTTCTGCAAACCATTCATTTGCAATGGACCTGGTTGTGGAGAAACGGTCCGTTAAGGCCAATAATCTTAGGCGGCGATCTTCACGGTCTGTTGTTCTACGGCGGCGTCCAGTGCCCCTTGCTCTTTGCGTACAGCCTTCTTGAAGCCATGCCTGACAACACCTAACCACAGTGTCTACACTCCTTTGCACTCTAACTGCAATTGCCCGAAAAGAAGGTCCAGCTTCCGGAAGTCCCACTATACGGCCCCTATCAAACTCACTAAGTTGACGAAATCGTACAGGTCTCCGTACTCTAGGCATCGTAACCGATCGTATAGGATGTCAAGAACCAAAATCCGCCAACGTTGATTCTTTACTGCGGCTGAAATATTCATTTTTAAAGCGTTAGTGAATTAAAAAAAAGCAGTATAAAAACCGGAATGTCCAACTGATAAGGCTGAAAATTTGTTCACTTGTTATTTACAGTAAGATAAATACATTCACCAACTTTTATTAAAATAAAACCATTTAAACTGGGTGTTCGGATTTATATGTCACTTAGTATATAAGGCAAAAAACAAAACAACAAAATTAGTACAATTAAAAAAGAAAATGGTGGACTAGTGAGTAATGATGTAGATATCGCAAATGAATTTTGTGAATATTTTTCAAAAATCGGGAAAAGGTTGTCAGAAAACATAAAAGACGCGGAGAAATAAAATTATAGTAAGATCAGATTATATATATATATAACTCATTAAATCTGGAACCGACCGATACGCATGAAATAAAGACAATAATCAATGAATTGAAATTAAGAAAATCTCCAGGGCTAGATAATATAACAGCGTATACTCTCAAGAGAATAAATTGGAACATCTGCGGCATACTGTCATATTTGATAAATTCTTGTATGAATAAAGGAATATTCCCTTCATGTTTAAAACACGCTGTGGTAAAACCATTATTTAAATCTGGAGAAAGAGAGAAACCCATCAACTATCGACCAATTTCCATCTTAACAAATTTTTGAAAATGTGTTAAAAAAACTATTCAGCGAATTTGCAAAAAAATATCACTTAATAGCGGAAAAGCAATATGGTTTTCAAGAAGGCAAATCTGCTCAAGATGCTATTGTAAAATTAACAAGTAAAATATACACGAATCTCGATATTGGCAAACCAACTGCTAATGTTTTTGTTAACTTGGCAAAGGCATTCGACTCTATTACTCATAGATCGCTTTTAACAACTTTAGAACACTTAGGTTTCCGGGGAATAACATACAAACTTATAGAAAATTATTTCAGTGAACCCCATACTATATCATACGGTGTACCTCAAGGATCAGTATTAGGACCCATTTTATTTAATCTATTCATCAACGACTTGTTCAAAATAAGTATTACAGGTAAAGTTATCGGTTTTGCGGATGATACAGCTATTCTCTATGAAAGCAACCAGTGGCATACACTAAAAACCACTATCGAACATGATTTCAAAACATTTATAAATTTCTTTTCGGAAAGAACTTTGACAATTAATTACAACAAAACACACTATATAGCATTTTCTTGTAACGACAGGCTCTCACACAATTTAAAAGACTTGAAGTTCATACAAGCAGTGGTCTCAAAGAGATTCAGTCAGCCGATAAAATAAAATACTTAGGCGTGATTTTGGACAAACACTTAAAATGGGATACCCATACAGAGTACCTTGTGAAGAGACTGAGATATATTATTCCAAAATTCAGGTACTTCAGAGATATTCTAGATAAGAAATATCTATATAATCTACATTATGCTCTTGTTTGTCCTCTATTACTTTACGGATATATGGCTTGAGGGGGAGTTATGAATAATAATTACAAAAAGGTTGATGTAATTCAAAAATTAATTCGAAAATTGATCCTCCATAGGGAGATTACTTATTCAAGTGATTTTCTATATATGGAGGCTCAGCTATTAGATTGCAGACAAATTTATTTTTATTGTGGTCTAATACATTATTTAAAATATTCAAAATACTTCAATCGTACCATTCATAACTACCCAACAAGATTCAATCAGAATTCAATGTGTATTCCACAAACATCAAAAACCA